ACGTGGCCTGGTCGTATCTCAAAGAGCACATGGCCACACCATAGCTGAGCAAGACAGTGGCAAAATGGCTGCTCGTGGTTGAGTCCTTTTAACCATTTCCCTTGGTTAGGGGAAGGTCATCAAGGTGATTGGGTGATGGTCTGTTCCACATCATTAGGAAGGGGCAGGCAAACACAGGTACTGAGGTCAGGAATGGACAGCAGGCGATGGGTGGGTTAGTCACTTGTGAGTCTTAGATCTTGAGGTCACCAGACATTAACAACTCATGCCCTCAGGCAGTGGGCTAGATGGGAGAAGACAAGGGGAGAGTATCTTCTTGCAAGAGACTTTGTCAAACATTTGCAACCCATAAACTCCTTGACCAAAAGGTAGTCTATTACCATTTCTATGGTTCTGTCCTTGTCTTGAATCTGATGGAGATTTGCCTAGGTTGGGAAGGCTACCACTTAGCATGAAGTAGAATGTCTGAACACTTTTTTTTTTTTTGAGTTAGAGTCTCACTCTGTCACCCAGACTGGAGTGCAGTGGCCAGGAGCGGCCACCGCAGCCTCGACCTGCTGGGCTCTGGTGATCCTTCCGCCTCAGCCTTCCAAGTAGCTGGAACTACAGGCGCGCGCTACCATGCCCGGCTAATTTTCTGATTTATTGTAAAGATGAAGTCTCACCAAGTTTCCCGGGTGGGTCTCGAACCCGCGGGCTCAGGCAATTCACTCACCTCAGCCTCCCAAAGCGTGGGATTACAGGCTGAGCCACCTAGCCTGGCTGAACACTTCTTAAAGCCTGCCTATTGGAAATTTATCTGTGTCTAACCTGTCCTAGATTCAAAGCATGCCAGGGCTAACATCTAAGCAAATGGTCATGGTGTAGTGTGTCTGTAGTTCCAGCTGCTTGGAAGGCAGAGGCGGAAGGAGAGGCTGCGGTGGCCATGAGCATGCCACTGCACTCTAGCCTTGGTGACAATTGAAAGACTCCAACTAGAAAAAATAATAAAAGCTCTAATGAGGAAAGGACCCTTCTGAAAAAGCAGAAAAAGTGAAAATAAGTTACTTCCTGCTTCTTTGTGCTTTCTCTTTCGTGGGCTTTCTACTTTGGCGGGCTACATGTTTAAACTTTTGGTGGAATCCAGGCAGAATAGTAATCCTGTAAGCCAATCAGCAAATAGGATTATGTAAAACCAATCAGTGTGCAACATGTAAGACTAAGCTACATGTTAGCCCCCAAGCTATGGAAAATCCAATCATTGTAAATTTTGATTTATTGTAGAGATGAGGTCTTGCCAAGTTGCCCGGGTGGGTCTCGAACCCTCGGGCTCAAGCAGTCCACTCCACTTGGCCTCCCAGAGTGCTGGGATGACAGGCCGAGCCACTGAGCCCGGCCTGGATGCCATATTTAAAGTCAGTTTTTGCTGGGCTTGATGGCTCAACCTGTAATACCGTGCTTTGGGAGGCCGAGGCGAGTGAATTGCCTGAGCCCGAGGGTTTGAGACCCGCCCGGGCACCTTGGCGAGACCTCATCTCTACAATAAATCAAAAAATTAGCTGGCCGTGGTGGCGTGCACCGGTAGTTCCAGCTTCTTGGAAGGCTGAGGCAGAAGGATCGCCGGAGCCCAGCAGGTTGAGGCTGCGGTGGCCAGGAGCGGCCACTGGACTCCAGTCTGGGCAACAAGTGAGACTCCAACTCAAAAAAAAAAGAAAGCAGTTATTAAATATCATAGCTCTCAATTTAACAAATCTATCCAAAGGTCCAGAATAAATTAATCCCTCCCTCCACTTTTCTTTTCCTCTTTCTCTCTCTCTATCTTTGTTTTGTCAGGGTCGAACTTTGTTGCCCAGGCTGGAGTGCAGTGGCATAATTCATGGCTCACCACAACCTTGACCTCCTAGGCTCTAGCGATCCTTCTACCTCAGTCTCCGAAGTAGCCGGTGTTAGGTATGGAGGGTCTGGAAGGGGCACAGCACTGCTGGAGCCAGAGTGCTAGAGGTACACGGTAACCTGAGATCCAAATAACACAAAGGTTTGCAACACAAAGAGATGAAGAAAGAAATGATTTATTTAAAAAGAGATCACTTCCCACACATGGCCATCTGGGGTGCGATCCTAAGCCCCGTGGAAGATGCAAAGAGTTGCACAGAAGTTAGATTTCAAAATACAGTTTATTTAAAAGTAAATTAGAGAAAGAGAAGGGCGGGAGAAGATTCACCTCCCCAAGGTGGGGGAGGGGACCAAAGCCGGGAAGTATGGCAACAACCATAGCTCAAAGAGCACTTGGCCACACCAGAGTGTAGCAAGGCATTGGCCAATGGCTGCTTGTGGTTGAGTCCTTTTAACCACTCCCCTTGATGGGGGAAGATCATTAAGGTGACTGGGTGGTCATCTGCTCCCTGTCATCATAAAGGGGCTGGCAAGGGCAGGTACTGATGTCAGGTGCTGGACAGCAGGCAGGTGGGTGGGTGAGTCACATGATTACTGCCATGGTGGGGTCTGTCTGAGTCACTAGGTCACAAAGGGCTAATTAGGTTAACTCGGGGTTTGGGCCTCGAGGGGTTTTTCCTGCAAGAGACTTATTAGACATTTGCAATCCACAAATTCCTTGACCAAAGATGGTCTTATTATCATTTTTATGGCTCTTTCCTTGTCTTGCACCTGGTGGAGATTTGCCTAGGGGGTGGGGTAGGCTGCCACTTGGCCTGCAGTAGAATGTCTGAATACTTTCTTTTTTTTTTTTTGAGTTGGAGTCTCACTCTGTCGCCCAGTCTGGAGTGCAGTGGCCGCTCCCGGCCACCACAGCCTCGACCTGCTGGGCTCCGGCGATCCTTCCGCCTCAGCCTTCCGAGTAGCCGGAATTACAGGCGCGTGCTACCATGCCCGGCTGATTTTTTTGATTTATTGTAGAGATGAGGTCTCGCTGCCCAGGCGGGTCGTGAACCCGCGGGCTCAGGCAATCCACTCACCTCAGCCTCCCGAAGGCGTGGGATTACAGGCTGAGCCACCGAGCCCGGCTATGTCTGAACACTTTCTAATGGTTATGCTGAGGCAAAAAAGACTAAACTAAGAATAAACTAAGTTTCCTCTAGGTGTCTATAAGTACCACTTTTCAGCTGGCACTACAGGCACACACCACCATGCCCAGCTAATTTTTTTCTTTTTTGGAGAGACAAGGTCTCGCTATGTTTCCCTGTCTGGTCTTGAATTCCTAGGCTCAAGCAATCCTCCCCGCTGGCCTCCCAAAGTGCTGGGATTACAGGTGTGAGCCATTGCACCCAGCCTAGAGTAAATTTAGCCCTTTAATTTCCAGTGATTTTGGCTCTGGGTTGGGCAATGAGCTTCCAAGTCTTGAGGAAGAGGGCTTCCTTTGCTCTCCAAGTGGAACCTCAGGCAGGGCAGCTAGAGGGGTTAAGAAGGGTGGGTCCGGAGATCCCAGTTGTCACTGTGTCATTGTGTATCTGACACCAATGCCCAGGGTGACAGAGTGAGCCACTTGGCTCTCTGGGGCTCAGTACACTGAGTACTCTGAGTAGATTGTATCAGAGTAGTGGTTCTCAGCCTTGGCTACCCACTGTGGTCATCTGAGGAGCTTTGAAAAATTCTCATTCCCAGTGCTCACTGTGGACCAATTGCATCCGAATCTCAGAGGGTGGCGCCCAGGTCTTGGTATGCTCCAGCTCCCTGATGGCTTCAGAGTGTGGCCAAGGATGACTTCGTGGTTAGAGCCATGGTTCCCACACTTGCATGAGAATCACTTGACATTCACAGACACAGATCTCCCAGCCTGTCACCTGAAGGTTTGGTTCAGTAGCTCTTGAGGGGGAGGGGTACCCAGAACCTGTATGTTAGACAGGCCATCCAAATGCTTCTCAACACCAGACAAATCTCGCAAACAGATCAGAGTGGCTGTCGCCAACCTTTATTTTTTCCTTTTAGTTTTCTTGAGTTAGGGTCTCACTCTGTTGCCTGGGTTGAAGTGCAGTGGCACAATCAAAGCTTACTATGGCCTCAACCTCCCAGGTTCAGATGATCCTTCTGCCTGTCTCCCAAGTAGCTAGGACTACAGGCACGTGCCACCACATCCAGCTAATTTTTAAAAACTTTTCGTAGCCCATCTGGCCGCAGGCTGCGGGCCCCAGGCAAAGGAAAAAAAAAAACTTTTTGTAGAGATGAGGTCTCACTATGTCACCCAGGTTGGTCTTGAACTCCTGGACTCAAGCAACCTTTCCACCTCAGCCTCCCAAAGTGCTGGGATTACAAGCGTGGGCCACCACACCCAGCACCTTCTCCAACCTTAATGTGCCTACAAATCACTGAGGACCTTGTCAAACCGTGTACTCCAGTTCAGGGGATGGGCAGCAGGGCTTGACATCTGTGTTGCTAACAAGCCCCCAGGCCATACTGAGGCCTCTTTGGTCCAGGGACCCCACCTAGGGCAGGGATTAGAGGCCTCCCAGGGCACTTTCCACCTGAGGGATCCAGTCTAAAATTCTGCAGTTCCCAAAGACAGGTGTACTCCACCCCATCCCACCCCTGTCAATCTGAGCACCTGGCTAGGTCCATACACACCAGGAGTGTCTGCCCAGCACACCCTTCTTTGAGGATTCTTTGCTTTTGCCATTCTTCCCTTTTTGGCTGTGTCATTATAAATTAGTAGCATCAAACAAAAAGCCCCATGGGGGTGGGGATATGCATGGTGCAGTAGATCTCAGCAGAGGGGTCCGGACTGCCCCCTGCACCCCTGGCTCTCACACCCACACCTTGAGTCTAGAGCAGTGGAAGCTTCCAGCATGGAGCACAGCCCTCTGCATTGAGGCTGCTTCAGCGATGCGCTTCAAGCACCAATCCAGTGTCCTCCTGCCTCTGATCTTGCCAGCCTTGCAGGAGCCATTCCCTTGAACGCAGACAAGCGGTCTCGATAGGCTGGGTTAAAAATCTTTCAGTGGGGGCTTGTTTGTTTGTGAAGCAGCTTCAATTATCAGGGATTTCTAAGCTGGCTCCCTCTCCACTGGCAGCGGCATCCACTGCCCGCCGCCAGCCTTGGTGACGGGCGCATCTTGGTGTTGCGCTGGGCCTCGCAGAACTGGGGGTGCGGGGTGGGGGGCTG